TTTATATCTATGATTTAGGAAGACAAACTTCCTAATGTCAATTTAAAAAAAAATATTTTCAACTAAAACAAGTCATTAATGCAATTTTCAGTTACTCGTGAATCTTTCAAGTCACAACAACAAACTTTTGTCGGCATCTCTGCTTTCCTAGCAACCTCAACATTTATAGCTTTTTATGGTTTTAGAATGTACACATACACAATTTCAATTCCAATAAACAATTTCAACAAGCAATAAAAAGACCATATTAAAGACTATATATAGCTACAATGAGTCTCCCTCAAATCAACTAACTCCTTCGAATCAACTAACTCCCTCGAATCAACTAACTCCCTCGATTCAACTAACTCCCTCGATTCAACTAACTCCCTCGATTCAACTAACTCCCTCGATTCAACTAACTCCCTCGATTCAACTAACTCCCTCGATTCAACTAACTCCCTCGATTCAACTAACTCCCTCGATTCAACTAACTCCCTCGATTCAACTAACTCCCTCAAATCAACTCACTCCCTCAAATCAACGAGTCTCCCTCAAATCAACGAGTCTCCCTCAAATAAACCAACTCCCTCAAATCAACTAACATGGCTATTTTTGTCCCATTTTTTTGAAGGAAAGTGCAGACTATAAGCAGAACTATTTTGTGAATTTGTGATGAATAGAGGAACTGGTGGTGATAACTATAGTTTTTTCTTCTAAAACACATATGTGTTCAGTTCTATATAGTACTGATACTAGTACAACAGTCACCTGTCTGAAGTTTATACATAAAAAAAATCATTGATAATTTAGAACACTTCTTGAGACTACATGATACTGCACTGATTAGAACCATTGTGCTAGAAAACCTATTACCAAATTAAGATTGAAGTCTACTTGTGTAATTTGTAAAACTCAACATTTGATCAAAAATTGTCTCACAGCGAAGATTTCCGGAGACAGATATTCGCTCATCTAATACTTGTGTACATTCAGATTTTGGACACAAACGAACATAATTTGCCATTGAAAACAAGCAAACAGTATTATGGCTGTCTTTGGGGAAGGCTATCAGTTGTCATGGTGATAAAAGGAATGGCTTGGTATCCGGGAGAAAATCGTATAACTTATACACCTGAAGATATCCAAAGAAGCATCACCAAAGGGTGAATGCTAAGTGGGAAAAAAAATTATTGTAAATCACCAATAGCACAACGGCCTCAAGATGGGCACAATAACCACCACAAGGTTAGAGACTGGGTTCCACAGCTGTGCAGTGTAGCAAAAGAAACAAGTACGGTGAAAACATGATTGTACGTACATGTATGTACGATTGGCGTGTCCAAACCCTATCACAATATAGATCTGGCAGGACAGTATTTGTCTTAATGCTCATGTCTTTCTTCTCGACTTGTTATTCGGACCTTGATACTTGTCTCTTTTGTAATAAAATGCATGGTAAATATTGTCTCGTGCACACACCGAGTGCGGCTATTAAATTTTCATACTCGCGCACAGACGATTAGACATTGTGTGGCCGCAACGAGAGAAAACATAAAGCGAAGGCTACACACCTGTGTGTTAGTTTGCGGGATGCAAAAGAAAACAACTGATAGCAAATATAAAGGATTAACAGCTTCTTTGGCCAGCCACTAGTTCAAATCTAATTTGAAATTGCGATATTTTTAATTTTTCAGGAATGCATGACAGAATTCAGCATTTCAATTCTACACATGGAAATAACCAATCATGGCGGTGTACAAAGCATGCAAGTGGAAAATTTGGCCTGAAACAGACTTTACTTGTTCTTTCAATTTTGAAATGGCAAAATTTTAGGTTTTCAAGGCTGATTAACCCGGTCAAGACGAAGCAACCAGGGATTGAAAAGAATGTAAACTTACCTGACTTTCAAAGTATTGAATTACAAATTTAGTCAAAAAAAAAAAAAAAATTCAGTTTTAATTATTAAAACCTTAGCCGTATTAACTTTGTAAATTAGTCTTTGAAGAGCATGTGGATAGCAAATTCAGTTTAATTAAAAAAACTATGGAAAAATTACATATAACAATTTTATATTATATTTTAAATCAGAAACTGACTGCTAGTTGTAATTGTAGAGGGTGACAGTGATAGTGACAGTCTAAAGAAAAAGATCGGATAACAAGTATTACAAATGTAAAAACAGAATTTGTAATTCACTCTCGGTAAAACAGTGAAAAAAAATAAAAATCATGAATCCTTTTATATAAACCAAATTATTTATGTAAGAGCATTACGACAGCTGATGACAAACAAAGAGATTTATTTACAATGTAACACAGGTACTGGAGAGAAAAACATTGTTAAAGCAATTTGAGTAATTACCGTATTAATATCGTTCATTTCACCTGCCATTGTAATAACAAAATATCAATACGTGCCTTTAAATAAATTGACGGTCTTTATGGGACGCTGAAAGGGCAATAACAGCAATGGAAGCTGACAATCACGGCTTCTCACATAAAGGATACAGCATTGAAAGGAAGCTTTTGTTCCGTTTGAATAGCATGGTCCAAGCGGGAGGTTACAAGAACGTAAACTACTATGAGCACCCTAAAGTTCTGCTCCTCCTTCCAAACAACTAAGAAAACGTTGCACTTTAACTTCTAGGGCACTTGCTCTTTTATTTTCTGTGATACATTTAAAATTTGGAAATTCAGGGGATTCTGATTGTATGTGATAAACAATTTGATCAATCAATATTACCAGTAATAAACTTCAATGAATACAAAAACAAATCCACTAATTATTAGCAATATAGGCAAATAACATTTCAATAACAATTAAAATTGTTATAATATAAACCCGTCGATTCAATTTTCATGTATTTGGGAATTAACAAAAATCATCAATTTTATTGTAATGAACAATTTCACTTTGGTTTTTAAAACAGTTGATGACAGATGCTTAATTTTGTTCCAGCAAATGCTCCCAAATCACAAAAATTCAAACAAGAAAAAATTCAACAGCTTATAATCAATCAATCTTGATGCTATTGCAAAATATTTAAACGCTCTGAATTTGATATTTAAATTGACTGGGGAATGCTAAGGCAATCATATAAAGTCTGTCCACAGAGAGTTGAGATGAAGCAAAACAACAAGTACCCAAAGATTGACCAGATTAGTTAACGGCTCCACCAGAGAAAAATGAAACCTACATCTTTGCCCATCCAGCTGCTGCAATGAACAGTGGAGCTCCTTGAAGGATGCAGTCAAGAAAAACGGTTCAGCCTGAGACTACATGTAAACTTGTGGTAATTTTATCTGCAGCAATTGTACTGTAACAGTTCGCCATTCTGCTCACATCAATCAGTATCGCCAACTTAGAAATAACATGGAAATACCTTTGTATTAAAGTCTGAAGAAAGACGATGTTCTATTCCTTTTTGGCTCTTAAAACAGTGAAACTCAAAAAAAAACATACACATTGACTACACTAGAAGAAAGAGTGGCAGTCAGTAATAAGGGTCAGTTGTCAAATCCTTTGGAAGAACAAAGCGGCAAATAAACAACCACAGTTGAATAGCAGTTCACCCGGATCCTTTGAGAAGGTAACAGAATGACCAGAAAGAGAGCCTGGATCAAAACAATTGGTTCTGAAAGCATCAGACTATTCTGATGTTAATAACTTTGTCCAATTCCTTTTAGTAATATTGATCATTTTGGTTTAGATTGTATTATTACACTGAACATTGGAATCACAGGGAAACTTGTCAGTTTTAAAGAACGAGCCAAGCATACAGTGATAGGGATTCAAATTCCAGCTATGGACAACGTTTCTCTGTTGCGCTAACAAAAGTATCCTCGTCTACACATCTCCTCGTTTTAATCTGCTTCTTGAAGTGTGCGTTTTTTGTGACTCGCTTATTTGCCATGCATTGGAATTTCTGTATTCATCCCCTTCAATGCAAATAGAAGTAGTAATCACAGCCCCAAGTCACAATACAATACTATACTAGAATCAAATTTTAATACCTTTTTAGCACAAGCATTTTGATTTTTTTTTTAAATATAAAATCACTCTAGCAAACCTATACAGCACAATAGTTTTTGGTGAAATAAAACACAACCAGGTGATACATGTATCCTCTAAGCTCAACAATTATTTTATTTATCAGCATCTAATGGGTACTTTAATAATGAGTAACAATAAAACAGTAATAGGGAGGCTTCTTTTTTTAGAAACATTTGACTTCTTATATTTCGGCTCTAATTATACAAGCATGGATCATATTAAATTTGACCTCATACTTGTAAGTTCAACTACTAAGATTCAAATAAATAAATTAACTAAACCTTGTGTAATATCATGAAATGATACCATACAGCTGTGGGGCATTTTCAAACAACAAGGGTCGCTCCACGGGCTCGGGTTTCTGAGGAGAACGATTACCCGATCTGAGTACTGATGGACATCAAAGATGTTGGCAGTTTGTGAAGTGCGAAGACAATAAAATGAACGTACAATAGAGGTAAATCTCACATCGGTCTATACACACATTCCCACATTCGGGTATTGTTCAGAAATCATCTTGTGAAAACACACATTTATCACGTCGCGGACCGACCCGATGTCCACACGGTACTCATTGGGTCATACATACACAAGCTAAACGCACCAAGCTGAAACTGGGTGGCCGATCTACGCTAACTGCCGTCGTTATGGCTCACACTGTATATGTTGTTGATTATATGAGAGTAAAACGAAGCGGTTGTTTATCCCAGAAGTCCATAACTTTGACCGGCGCGCTGTTTGGAGTTGGTACTCAACTTGACCAAGATCGACAGTAAGTCGCTTTGAACTTCAACTAAGAAAGTCACATCGAACTAAACAATTACTCACGGTAAATAAGGACGCCGAAATCACATTGAGGTGAGTGATTTGCTGAGCAGCTGCAAAACAAATCCATGAAACTTTTGAGTCGGTCATGGATGCCGTTTCTTCCACCGTATACGATAACATAAGACAAATGCACTTACCCCCAAAGAGTAAAAACAACAGCCACAACGATCCTCGGACACGCCGAAATACCCTCCATGTCATTCTAAATACACCGATCATGCCCTAGCTGTCACATATGAGGTCCACAGCGAATGTTCAAAGGTATAAAACCCAATGTTTTCAGCACGATGTATGTCTTTGAATGGCTCTGTGCTCCCGTGGAGTATCAAGTATCCCACTCACTATAAACTTGTTTCCCTACTGCACTGAAGTCATTCCTATGCAAATCGCTATTTATATTCAAATTAACACCAGGCTCGTGCAAAGACAGTTTCTGTGCTCCTATTGTTCTACTGAATACAGTAGGATTGACAAGACAAAATCTAATCAGGTCGTTTGTAAACAGTTATAATGTATCTTTTCAATGGTAACTAAAAAACAAAGACGCTAATTTGTTTTTCTGGCCAAAAAGGACCGCAAAGGCCGAGCGCCATTCACCACTTTCCAGAGATTGAGGGCGCCCAACAAACTTTACCGAAAACACAAACTTTTATATCATGAATTTCACCCAGCTAAATAGAACACCAAATCACGTTTTAGTAACCGTGACCAAATGTACAACAAATACAGCCTATACTAAGAAAAAATGAGCGGTGGTATAAGTTACATGAAGTGCATATATTGCGAACTGAACGGTGTTAAGTCTCAAACGGTTCTTTCAAAACAAGAGAACGTAACCGTCTTTCCGGTAGCGGGCGTGCCATTCAAGGAATATTCGACCGCGGACGACTTTCTAACTCGATCATTTTTTTTCTGTAATAGCCTCGCACATTTAAATTTTAAAATATGGAGACAAATATTTGTTTATATTGTCTTCGAATGTTGTGGTATGAAATAAACATGATTCCGGCCAGAATACCATCGCTAACATTTCGTTGTTTAGTTGTTCGGTGTACGATACCCCTGGGGAGGGGTTCTCTGAATAAAGTATGGTACCCAAGCTGAAGTAAAAAAACGCGTAAAAGGGGTGTTATTTAGTTATTTGACGCGCATACGCGTGTACCGTGTTTAGGGTCGAAAGTGTTTAAATATATAGATAAGTGTGAAAAAAAAGGAATATCATGTTACTTCAACTTGGAAACAGTATGATTTTAGCAATCTGATTAAAATCCGATGTAGTTATGAGGCTCCAATTTTGTTTATGACCCTTTATGTAATATTTATTTGTATTTTAGTTTGAATATGTCGATTTTTTGGTTTTTCTTGCATACTGGGACACGATTTTCTAAGAACTGATTAACGGCAAGAAAAAACAAAAAATCGACATATTCGGATTTTAATCAGATTGGTATATAGGTTATCTATTTTAACTTTCTGCAATTGAAAAGGGGTATAATTGTCTAAAATAAGTACGTGTTTAGAGGCTTTTTCTTAAAAGCAATACTTCAGCATGGGTACCAGGTCTGACTTGGAGTACACCCCTCACCACCCCCATCCCGGGACGATACCCGGGTACCCCGTGGTTGAGATTACGGCATGTGCGACATGTATGTACGTTCTGTAGACTGGGGAACAAAGACACTGATATTTAAAGAATAACTACGAGTAAATCCGAAATTACGCAAACCGGACATTCCTTCTTAAAAGGTGGGGTCGTCGAGCAGCGCGTGTTCACATTTCTTGCCAGTACAACGTATGTGACACGCGCTGTGACGTCACTACGAGTACCATATCGAACAGAACGCGGAGCGTTGACCGCCGCCCTTTAATTTATGTACAATACTTTATTTTTTAATCACAATACTCTAATGTGTGGACGTAGCGTTTTGTATAAATGTACTTTATCATTACCAAAATATGTAATCACGTGGCAACTATAATTTTTGCATCATTTTATGCCACTGGCAATTACAATTATATCACGTTTGAAAAATGCCTACATTTTCTCTCGATAGATAATGACGTCATAGTCATATTTTCAGGCTACTCATTACAAATGTTTTATGTTACAAAGTTACTGTAAACATTACCGAGAAAATGATGTACACAGTGATTGTAAAACCAGCCTATGATTTTAGGGCATACGCCACTATTTCCCGCTATTACAAGGATATATATCACAATATCTAACAATTTTACTTGCGACATAAGATAAAAAAAAAAAAAAAACGACACTGTCTTACACGTTAATTGGTGGTGCGAGATGATTTTAGTATGTTGTAATTGTGGTCGAAAGAAACTATTTTCCTTGATAGTTGGCAATTGTTTAAGAAAAAAAAAAAGCTTTTCGCTGGGTGAAAAAATGTGTAAATGATGGTTAATACACACTTTTTGGCATATCACGGCTATAAGCGCTACTGGTGATAGACTTTTTATACCATATCACCCAGCAAAAAAAATGATATACGACATAATACTAGCAATCTAAATAAAACTGTCCACGACATTTCGGACACACAGTATTCTGTTGGCATGAATCCATAATAACGAAACAAACACAATCTTTAATTCGGGTCGTACCTCCTTTAAAATGTCGCCATCGCTGTCCAACAACACCACCGCCGGTGGATGAACTACTAAGGGCTGTGACATACATCTGTCGTAGGGTGGCGCTATGCACACAATCTCAGCATCATCATACAACTCAGAGTCGACATAACGCCCATTGTATTTATTTCATTCTAGTGTAACCGCAGATTATTTTACATAGAACATACAAACTGTACTTCTAGTTTTTTTTAGTTCTGGTATTTTCCTCAGCGAAATGTAAACAGCTGCACAAGTTACAAATCAAATGCGCCATTACGTAACGAATTAAACAAAAATGGATAAAATGTTAAATACGAATAAAATATTGTATAGTCTTGCGTTTATGCAAATACGCACTTCCACTCAGGTTATCAGCAGTGGGGGTGACCGAGTATGCATTTATTTCGAGTTTTCGTCCAATTGCACCTCGTAATAACGTGTCCCCCCCCCCCTCATGGGTGTGACATCCACACTTATGGTTAGCAAGTTGTGAATATTCACAAAACGCGGACCACCGGGGTGGCCGTTATACTTAAAACAGCACGGTTACTCGTGCGATTAACCATAGAAAAGAAATCGATTTTAAGCAGCGACCCCAATAAGTCTATCAGTAATTTGCAAAATCCAAAATGTTTGACACAAAGATCGCACGAACCTCAAATCAAAGAGTTGATTTGCAAAGTCTGTACCATACAGATCAACTTATGATCGTGCAATGTTAGAAACGATTTTTTTCACTGACATCCATTATCTACTAGTATTTTAGACATTACGTTTACGGAAGCGAGAGTGGATGATCAGTTCTACATAAACTCGCTGCTTTTACGAAGTTTGATTGCGTGGATTCAGGATGCGCCAGATTTAGTTTCTGCGATAAATCGGGAATTCTCGGGTCTTCAAAATATATAAAAATGTATTACTAGTCTGAGATTTACACAAGTTTTTCCCTTCATACAGTATATTAAAAAAAATAATCCTGATTAACCCGAGTTTGATGGGAAGGGGCATTAATTTGTTCTATTGTCAGGTCTCCATAAATCTCCCATTGATGTGCTCCGGTATATTTAAAGACCTTCGCTAAATCTGAAGTAAATATCCATATTCGCAAGCACTGGTATCACCAATTTAAAAATGTACAATGCCACTTAACTCGAGGATTTCATTGCTTTGGGAGATCAACTTTAGGGTAGGGCAAGTATTTTGCTGGCATTTTTTTAAAGAGTGAATATGGTCTGATGTCACAGTAATGTAATGTAATGTAGGATTGTAAAGCACTGCACAAAAAACAAGACTTGTATATCAATGCATTTATTTACAATAAATTATTTGACCATAATTCGAAATTAAATTATTGTTCAATTTCAAAATTCCTCATCTTCCTCCTCGCCTTCATTTTCAATTGAATCTACTCCAACTTCTTCGTAATCTTTTTCCAATGCAGCCAAATCTTCGCGTGCTTCCGAGAACTCCCCTTCCTCCATACCCTCACCGACATACCAGTGGACAAAGGCGCGTTTGGCGTACATTAAATCGAACTTGTGGTCAAGACGAGCCCATGCCTCTGCGATGGCAGTGGTGTTGCTCAACATGCAGACAGCTCGCTGTACTTTGGCTAAGTCGCCACCTGGAACGACCGTTGGTGGTTGGTAGTTTATGCCAACTTTAAAACCAGTTGGACACCAATCGACAAACTGGATGGTACGTTTTGTTTTGATAACTGCAATAGCAGCGTTGACATCTTTCGGAACAACATCGCCACGATACAACATGCAGCAGGCCATATACTTTCCGTGACGAGGGTCACATTTCACCATCTGATTGGACGGCTCGAAACAGGAGTTTGTCACTTCAGACACCGAGAGTTGCTCGTGGTAGGCCTTCTCAGCGGAGATCACGGGGGCATAGGTAGCTAACGGGAAGTGGATGCGAGGATACGGAACGAGATTGGTCTGAAATTCCGTCAAGTCTACGTTCAGAGCACCATCGAATCTAAGAGAAGCAGTGATAGAAGAGACGATTTGACCAATTAGGCGATTCAAATTGGTGTATGTTGGTCGCTCAATGTCGAGATTACGACGACAAATATCGTAGATTGCTTCGTTGTCAACCATAAAGGCGCAGTCAGAGTGCTCCAGTGTCGTGTGGGTAGTTAGAATAGAGTTGTACGGCTCTACGACAGCAGTAGCGATCTGTGGAGCAGGGTAAATAGCAAACTCCAATTTCGACTTCTTGCCATAATCCACGGACAGACGTTCCATCAACAGCGACGTGAAACCGGAACCAGTGCCACCACCGAAGCTGTGGAAGATGAGAAATCCCTGCAAGCCGGTACATTGGTCGGCGAGTTTACGGATTCTGTCTAGGACCAAGTCGATCAGTTCTTTACCAATTGTGTAGTGACCACGTGCGTAGTTGTTAGCGGCATCTTCTTTACCGGTGATGAGCTGTTCGGGGTGGAATAGTTGGCGGTAGGTACCAGTGCGCACCTCGTCTGCAATTGAAAAATAAATTGAAAAAAGATAAAGCGAATACGACAAAATACAACAGCATATTAAAGCGCGGTGGTCGTCGCGCAGCGAGTGTTCGAATTTCATGTAAATAAATGCATTTTACACGCGTTGTATACGTCGCTACGAGTCCCATATCGAGCAGGACGCGGCACGACGACTGCCGCCCTTTAATATTTGTGCCCAAATACAAATTGTTTTATCTTATTTTTTCAAAGACACGAAACTTGGTACAGTAATTTTTTTCGCAATTTAGTTGGATTTGAATTAATGGTTCTCACCTACTACGCTTGGTTCCAAGTCCACAAAGACGGCACGTGGTACGTGCTTGCCACTCCCAGTCTCACTGAAAAACGTGTTGAAGGAATCGTCACCACCTCCTACAGTTTTATCACTTGGCATCTGCCCATCTGGTTGGATACCATGTTCTAAGCAGTACAGCTCCCAGCATGCATTTCCCATCTGCACACCCGCCTGGCCAAGATGCATTGATATACATTCACGCTAAAAGGCAACAAAAACGCACTATTTATCGCAACTAGCAAAATTGTTTAGATTCTAGGTTAGAGATTTTTTCTCCGGGTACCAAAGAGTGTAATATCGCTAGAAACTTGCACAATTCACGAAATTATTGACTCTTGGGGGGGGGGGGGTAACCAAATATCGCCTTGTGTCTATGTAAACGATTGGCAAGTGTTCAGTGCAGCACGATTCAACACAACTTGGGTATTACTCGTATTAGCGATGAGGAAATGGAACTGTCCATTTCGATGTCAAGTAATTTGATCAGAAATTATTATATGAAAATGTCGTTTCACAACCACGGAACATTTGAATCAACCGTGACGAATCCGAAAAAAATGCAGGTCGCCCAAAGACTACCACACTTACCATTTTCGAGCTGATTTAGAAGCGCGACTGAGAATCCACAACGTAACGTACAATAGTGACCATGGAAATAAAGACAATGTGACCAGTGTTCGTTTTATATACTCACTGTATGTACCACCTGGTAATAGTATGCGTTAGTTAGAATAGAACCACAATTGGATTATTCCATTTGGATAGATAGTACTTAATTGGTCCATTCCATTTTTATAAAAGATTTACGCATTTGAACCTACATTTTTGTTTTATCAGAAGAAGAAAACACTTTTTTATTGGCTTACTATTTTGAACCCTATTAATTTCTGTATTTGTTTTGTTTTTAAAAAACATTACTTTTTGTAATCTGTGACGTAAAATTGACAACAAATGAAGTGAATCTTTGGGGAATGTGATCAGCAACATAAGTACTTGCCCTCATCACCTGGCAGCTAATTTGCATATTTATTTGTTTCGTCCATTCACATTCAGGTACTAGAGATGAAGCAACACCTCGAACTACTAGTATTCAGTGACTTGGGTAAAAAGATAAAAATGAGGAAAAAATCAATGTTTTCAGAATGCATTAAGCATATACACAAATAGATGTGTATTGTTAGCATATAACAAACCCTTGAAACCAATATTTGTTCAATATAGTACAACCACACACGACTGCGAGTTAGCGCTCGCAACTGACACATTTTGCTACTTGCGACTCGCAACTCACCACTCGCAACTGTTGTATTTATGCACCCTTACATACCTCGCGTACGATGTCCAGGAATATAAATATTAATTGTATGGGCCTTATCATTTCATCATCGTTTTTGCATTGTATTCTTTGACTTACACAATGACAATTCTTGTGCATTTGTTTTTGCGTAATAATCTCGGAGAAAATTGCACATTAGGAAGTTCCTCCAAATACAAGAACTCCCCAAATATACAAGAAAAATGTATATTTTAGACATTACATTCACTTCTACTCAAAAAATTTCTGTATTTGAGACATAAAAAGTACATATCTTGCTCATTTCGACCGCGATCGTCAAACACGTACAACGCTTATAACGACTTATATGATTGGTTAAAACCGAAAGGTGAAACTTTCCCATCCAATGACATTGGTTGTTGCACAATTACACCTAACGACCAACAAGGAAAACTATCAGAATGTTTCATATCACTATTGCCGTGTACCGAGTACAAACTCGGTTTGATTGTTTGTCTGAATAATATTTTACTATTACGCTAAACGAGCAACGCAGCCCAGCATTCGGTTATCATGTGACCTCTTCTGGGAATCCGCGATCGAACCAGGAAGTAGGAACTGTTTTTAATAGTTCGTGTTTAGATCTCAGAGTACAACCACGTTCGTTTATGGGTTTGCACCAGTTTACTTTATTGTTCCCAGTAACCTGTGACACACACGACACCTTAGCTATGCTATAGTTGTGTAATTTCGAAGGTCCAATTCCGTTTGCACTGCTGTGTTACTGTTCTGTGTGATCTTTCTGAATTACAATCAACAACAAACTTCCGCATATATAACTTTCTACAGTTTCGGGGCGAGTCGAAGATGGCGACCACTACGGTAAGTTTTTGACCCAAGATAGCCTCGCCCCACTTCTTGTTTATATAGTACAGTCTATGTTTAATTTAAATCTGTGGCTGAGGGTCGGGGGGAAGTTGGGACATTTATCATTGTAACCTTTGCAAATGTGGAAGTCTTTGTAGAAAACGTTCGGTATATAAATTAATTGTGGTGAGGCGCGGACATATGAAACAATATGCGTCATATACTCATGTCTGTGTGTAGCCGTGGTTTCGCGGCGTTTTGGGTCCGGGAAGGTATTTTGCTTCGTCTATCAGTTATATATACATCGTCGGTATACAGTCGGACCCTAACGCCGCGGGTCCAACTGTGGAGCAAAATGGTAAAAATGGCAAATGACACTACCGACCTATATAACTGGTCGGAAAACAACAAAAATATACAGATTTCCATAGTTGGACCCGCGGCGT